CAATCTCTGCTGCCTTCATCATGCATGTTTTTACAAATTCACCCTCACTAAATGGTTTTGAAGCCACTGCGATTTCATTAGCAATGAGGTAGCTAGCTTTCACTGCAGCGTCACTGATGTCTCAGCTGTGAGTAAACACAGACTGCTGTTTCTTCAGACCCGCCAACAGTTCATTCTCCTTCTCTAATCTCCGCTGTCCTTGAAAGTTGTCATATTTGTCGGCATGAAGACTCACATAGTGGCGACAAAGGTTATATTCTTTCAGCACTGCAACATGCTCTGAACACACCAAACATACAGCTTTCCCATTCAATTCAGTGAATAAATAGGATGACCATTTTTCTTGGAACACTCTGCACTCTGCGTCCACTTTTCTCTTTTTTGACAGAGACATATTGGGGCAATGAGGGTGCCAAAGCACATAATGTTAAAAGTAGAAGCCGTAATAAATATCGCGGGCAAAACAAAGTAGCTCATTGGCTGCACGTGCTTGACCTACTTGCTCTGCCCCGGTACAAACAGTTTGCTTGCTTAACACAATTGCTATTGCGCCATCCAGTGGACGCAATTGGAACAGCAGTTTATTTTATTGAAAAAATGCAGCGCATTTTTATACTTTACAAAATTATTATTATTATTATTTTTATTTTATTTATTTTTTTATTATTATCTCGCGGGCCGGATTAAACCCGTTTGCGGGCCTGATCCGTCCCGCGGGCCGGACGTTTGACACCCCTGCTTTATCCTATCCTAGGTATTCCTTAAAGAGGTGGGGTTTACATTTTTTTACATTTATGTCATTTAGCAGACGCTCTTATCTAGAGCGACTTACAATTTACAAATGTAAATACTAACATACCGAGATAATGTTTAACCACATGGCCTATTAGGACTGCTATTAGCTTATTTGTTATAACTGCTATTTCAGTGTTTTGGTCATGTTTGCCACTGCATATTTATCTCACTATCAGAGATGTGGTTTCCATGGAAACAAGGCATTACACGATTCACATTAACCAATGGTGCCTGTCTGTAGAAGTTGAAACTCTCCTCAATACAATGTGACTCACCCTATATTGTGTGTATTGTGCTGTGATGGCAGCAGTACCGTAGTGAGTGTCCCTGCTCTGTGTGTAATGGAAATGTAATGGTATGATGTCAGAGGGTATTCACTCCTCTGTGTGTGACCGTGCCCTGGGATATCCCCTCGGCTGGGAAAACAGGATATGACAGGGCTAGGGAACACGGACGTTCTTATCAGAACCATATGGCACAGCAAAACCCAGCTTAAGGTCACGGACACATGCTTTCGCACACACGAACACCAGAGAGAGAGACCTGGTTCAAAATGGCAGCAGTAAGTCAGGGACCGTTTCCCCTGGCATTTCCTATCAGGTGAATCCTATCACTCAAAACTAGGATGGAAAAACAACACCGCACTACGGTGAGGACTGAGGGGGGAGAGCGGGTCTGTGTTTCCCTTGGTGTTTCCCTTAATCGCTCAGCTGTATTAAGCTAATATAGCCTGGGCCCTGAGGGTAAATATTTACCAGAGAGAGCAGAGCAGTTGAGTCCCAAATGGCACCCTATTCCCTATATAGTGCACTACTTTTGACCAGAGCCCATATGTTTCTGGTCAAAAGTAGTGCACTATAAAAGGGAATAGGGGTGCCATTTGGGACACAGCCCAGGTCTCGTTCCAGCAGCCAGTTTCCTAGGTAGGCAGGGAGGGACCAGGGATAGCTGTTAGCTCAGCTCAGGGAGATTACCCAGTTCTGCTATACTTCCACAGGACAGTAGGGAACTCCCTCTTTCTCTCGCTCTGATGCTGCTGGTGATGGTTGGTACAATGTATACACATTACTGACTGATGGCAAGCGGTCGGTCTCTACTAGCCACGTCATCACAGAGAGGGTAAGGGAGGGGGAGGGAGAGCAAGAGATGCAGAGAGAAAGAGCGAGAGAGGGGAGAGAGAGCAGCATCCTCTCAGCAGGAAACACACCAGTTGTGCAAACCGCTAGAGCTTCTTACACACGCAGATGCACTGCATTCACACACACACAAACACACAGGAAAGGCAGCAGAGCAGCATGAAGAGATAGCACAACCCTCCTGAGAATATCAGACAAATACAGTACAACAGCAGAGACAAGCAAATATAAATGTAATCACACACACAATATATACATAATGACAATGCCCTTCGCACCCTCAGGTCTACCAACGCCCACTGGTGACCTGGGTTGAGCTCTTAGTTTTCACATCATTAAGCAAATACAAATACCTGTACTCCATGACAGACAGACAGACACACAGAGAGAGCGAGAGAGAGCACGAGAGAGCGAGAGAGCGAGCGAGAGAGAGAGGAGAGAGAGGAGAGAGAGGAGAGAGAGAGATAGAGAGAGATAGAGAGAGATAGAGAGAGAGGAGAGAGAGAGGAGAGAGAAGAGAAAGAGAGATAGAGAGAGTACAGAGAGCGAGCCCAGGCAGCAACACGTCAAGTCCAGACACAACTAGACTGCAGTTAAAAACACACCACAGACTTTTATACAGACCATGTTCTGGATGGCCTGTATGTAAGAGCACTGCCTGGCACACAGGCTGTACAGTACTGTACCTGAACAAACAGTTTGGCAAACACCCTTTAAGGTAACCTAGGTAGCCGCTAGATCTCCACTATCGTTTAGTCTTAATGTGCTCAGCCGGTAATACACTTGTGTGCCCCGGCGACCGGTTCGTACATAAAACATCATCCATTCATGCTGCAAAGGCATCGGTTTCCTCCTTAACTAGCTTTAATGGACACAGAAAATATGCTAACTCCCACCATTTTCGGACAACTTCCGGATGTTGCACACTGCGTTCAGCCAATCAGGTTGCAACAGTGTTGTTTACCCCTGGCTGAACGCGGGGCACAACATCAGAAAATAGCATTAGCCACTCTAGCATGGTGGTGGGAAATTGTGTTTTATGACAGTACGCATCTTTTTCCTGTGTTTTTTGCGGCGACACACCATTAAAGCTAATTAACCCTATCAGTCCCAAGACCCCCAGCAAAACTTTTCATGTATCTACATGTCCATCCCTTATATTTAGCCTCACAATGAAGTATTTTACCATTTCCTTTTCAGGACAACCAGGGCTACAAGTAGAACACAAAACAATTTGACATAAATAGTTGCATTCATGAGTTATTGACAAAAAATAACGTCCACCAAAGCAAAGACCTGATAAAAATGATTTATATGATGCTGTAAGTACAGAAATTCTTTGCTCAGTGGGAAATGAATATCCAACTAGTCAGTGACAACTGTGTGTAGTTTGTGACAGCAACTATGTGAGCTTATTACAGTATTAGACACTATGTCCTGGGATTTCCTATGATCTCCTAATGACTCGTGTAGCTTTTGAGCATCATAGAGCAAAATGTGCATGTTCGTGAGCATCTCAGCTTTTCATAGATAGCTTTTAATAGTTTGTAGTTCAAATCATTCGGACTCTACAGTAATGTTTGTCTAAAGACCCGGCCCCGGGCCCCTTCGGGATCCGCCCTTGTCTCACAAACACCGCGTTAATCATGTTTTATGTAACCAGTTGCTGGGGGACACGAGTATATTACCGGCTGAGCACATTAAGCCTACAAGACCGTAGAGATCTAGCACCCACTAGAGGCTGCCTAGGTTACCTTAAAGGGGAAAGGCTTATCTCAGTCATCAAATGTAATACAATTATTTACTTAAAGGTGACTTTCATATTCCAATTGGCAAATAACATGACCTCTGGCCAGCATGTTCAGTTTAGAGGTACATCAAATTTGAGATGCAGTTTGGCCTTCCTCATAAGTGAAAAGTCAGGTGTGCGGGTAAGAGACGTTAACTGTGGTTAGGAGGGGTGTGTGTGTGTGTGTATGTGTGTTGGGTAGGGTGTCAGCCAGATCCTGCTCCAGAGGCTAAATGGAAGCCAAGACAAACACTGGCCTTGGCATTTCCTCTGTGGTAGAGCAGAGCAGGCACACACACACACACCCGACCAAGGTGTGGAGAGGAAAGGGATGGGCTGTGGGATTCCACAAGAGTGGCAATATGGGTGTCAGTGTGGATGTGTGTCTGACTCTCTGTGCTTGCACCGTGTGTGTAGCCTATTTTTCCTGTACGTAAAGGTCTCTCTAATGGTTATTCAGCAGCTGCAGGTTTGACATTTGGAAACATATCTGTGCTTCCTGCCTGCTGGCGGTCTGTGCCAGCCTCTCTCTGGGTCAGTGAGAGGGCCATGTAGGACTGCAGCCTACAGTACAGTGTGCCGTTCGGTCCTGCCAGCCTGCATGCCTGCCCTGGCTAGGCTAGCTACACCAGCTATCAAAAGGCTGGCTGAGGATGGTAAACATTACAACACCGCAGGGATTTTCCATCATTACTAACCCCACCTGTCCCCCATCCAAAACCTGTGTGTGTGTGTCTGCGTGTCCAAACCCAACACTACATGAGACGGCCAACTAACAGTATTTCACTGGAAACAAGACAGAGATGTGCTATTGAGATTAGCCAAACTCATAAACAACCTGATCCAAACACAGAATTTCACCTCTGACTGACTGACTGAAGGCTTTCTGAGGAAACTCTCAGTATGAAGTAAGTGTCAATCATTGATAAAGATATTAAGATCGAGGTAGACTACAATGCTTTGGGTTTTCTCTGAACTCGATGGACTGGAACTAAATATACCGGGCCGGTACAACGACAAACCATCCTCTACAACTGCAGGTAGACTAGAGGTTAGATAAGTGGGCCTGCAACCGAAGGGTTGTCACATTGTATCCCAAGACCGATGGGGAAAAGTGTGGGTATCCTATGTGTCATCTCCTGCCTTTGTGCCCTTAAGAAAGGCACTTAACACTTTGAACTTGTTTTTCTTACGTCAAAGCTTTATCACAGTGCATGTGCACAGCTGTCAATCACACTAATATTACAGTCGCACATCAAACCATTCACTCTAATATTACTTGAACGTTTTCCCAGACTCACCCTGCAGACAGACATCTGGTTGGTGGTGAGGGTGCCGGTCTTGTCAGAACAGATGACAGAGGTGCAGCCCAGGGTCTCCACAGAGGGCAGGCTGCGGACGATGGCGTTCTTCTTGGCCATGCGTCGGGTCCCCAGCGCCAGGCAGGTGGTGATAACAGCGGGTAGACCTGAGGGGGTAAGACAGGCAGGATTGGATAGAGTGGAATGGACAGGTACAGTACAGTAACATGGACAACACTCGCCAGACTGTTTCTGCTTTTAATAATTTCTGACATTTTGGTAGGCTATTAGTTATTAAACTTAATTATTAAATACAGGCAGCTTCTCTTCTGTCATTATATGTTGCCCTAGAATACTAAATAAACCCTTGCTCACCAGAATAATGTCATAAATGATAGAATGAATGCTTCAATCTAGTAGACATCGATATAGTTGTATCATCTCTGCTTCTTTTGCGGAGCTAAAAGTTTTAGATTTCTGTACAAAATTTCCAAATTACATCAGTTTGACAAGTAGTAAGGATATAGAAAGCTGTGAAAATGACCCAACATGTTTCTGATAAGATTTCAGTTCGGCCTGGATGCATATTTTATGTGGTTGAAATAGTATCAGATTTTATGATGCTAATAAAGACAGCACCTCTACAGATGTTCCGTAACTGTGCATTCGCATTCTCTCAAGATGCTGAAAGAAAGAAATCATATTTCTCCACTCATGTTCCCGAGTCAAAATGTACATTTTGTGTATCATCATTTTACTGCAAGAAATGCTTAATTCTGCAGGAGTTATTATTAAGACCGTGTCCAGATTTCAGTTTTCATTTAACCCATCTAAACAGTAGGCTACAGTTCCCTTGACGTGCCATAGGCCTATTTGAAGTCCCCGTCTTGTGACTGTCGAATTTGTATAGAGCCTCACAATCATCAGACATAACATAGACACTGCTATCATCCTCTTTTACCACTTCACCAAATCTTTCCCAAACATTACTTTTCTGGCCCTCCCTTCTCTTTATTTTCTACTCTCCATTTCACAGCTTTTCAGTGATTGAATTAAACTCAGACAAAATCCTTTTTGCCTCAGTCGATCTATACTACATGACCAAAAGTATGGGGACACCTGCTCGTCGAACATTTCATTCCAAAATCATGGGCATTAATATGGAGTTGGTCCCCCCTTTGCTGCTATAACAGCCTCCACTTTTCTTGGAAGGCTTTCCACTAGATGTTGGAACATTGCTGCGGGGACTTGCTTCCATTCAGCCACAAGAGCATTAGTGAGGTTGGGCACTGATGTTGGGCGATTAGGCCTGGCTTGCAGTCTGCATTCCAATTCATCCCAAAGGTGTTCGATGGGGTTGAGGTCAGGGCTCTGTGCAGGCCAGTCAAGTTCTTTCACATAGACCTCGACAATCCATTTTTGTATTGACCTCGCTTTGAGCACGGGGGCATTGTCATGCTGAAACAGGAAAGGGTCTTCCCCAAACTGTTGCCACAAAGTTGGAAGCAGAGAATCATCTAGAATTGTTCATTTTTCGCTGTAGCGTTAACATTTCCCTTCACTGGAACTAAGGGGCCTAGCCCGAACCATGAAAAACAGCCCCAGACCATTATTGATCTTAGGCTTGTGTGCGGCTGCTCGGCAATGGAAACCCATTTCATGAAGCTCCCGATGAACAGTTATTGTGCTGACGTTGCTTCCAGAGGCAGTTTGGAGCTTGGTAGTGAGTGTTGCAACCGAGGAGGGCCGATTTTTACGCACTTCAGCACTCGGCGGTCCCGTTCTGTGATCTTGTGTGGCCTACCACTTCGCAGCTGAGCCGTCGTTGCTCCTAGACGTTTCCACTTCACAATAACAGCACTTACAGTTGACCGGGGCAGCTCTAGCAGGGCAGACATTTGACGAACTGACTTGTTGGAAAGGTGGCATCCTATGACAGTGCCACGTTGAAAGTCACTGAGCTCTTCAGTAAGGCAATTCTACTGCCAATGTTTGTCTATGGAGATTGCATGGCTGTTTGCTCGATTTTATACACCTGTCAGCAACGGGTGTGGCTGAAATAGCCCAATCCACTAATTTGAAGAGGTGTCTACATACTTTTGTATATATAGTGTAGCTTAACTTTTTCTGCCCATACCAAAGCGTTTGGTGATTGGTATGTAAGCTATTTGGCGTGTGTAAAGTTAGACCCTAAAGCTTATGCTTACGCACTAATGACATAGCCTAAATATAATGAAAGAATAACCTTAATGTAGCCTATAAATATAAATTGTACAAGAATTATACATTAGATTTTTTTATGTATTGTTTTCTCTTTCTCTTTATTCAACCCGCGCATCACTAATGGACAGCATAGGATAATTCATTTAGGTTTTTTACATGGAATTTGGAAAGTGAGAAAAAGAGAGAGGCAGAGGGAAGGAAATAAGCTGTTCTCACATACCCTCAGGGATGGCGGCCACAGCCAGGGCCACAGCAATCTTAAAGTAGTAGATGGCCCCACGCATCCAGGACCCCCCATGAACTGGGTCCCCAAAATGCCCGATGTTAATGACCCAGACGGCCACGCAGATTAGGGAGATGACCTTCAAGTTCAAGTTCAAAATATTATTGTCTGTTCTTTGGGTGAGAATTGACATTTGTCTTGGGACTTGCAGTCATTTGGCTCATACAAATCACAGCAAACACAGACAGAAAACGTATAGATATGATAGCGCAATGAATTAATACAACAATCATCATCATCATCATCATCGTAAACCCCACCTTGGAGAGCTGCTCTCCAAATTCGTCCAGTTTCTGCTGCAGAGGAGTCTTTTCCTGCTCCGTGGCAGCCATCTGGTTCCGAATCTTACCGATCTCCGTGGACACGCCGGTGGAGACCACGATGCCAATGGCTCGCCCCGCAGCGATGTTAGTGCCCTGCGCAGGAAGAGGAGGAGGTCAGCACAGAGTTAATATGGTGATACAGAGTACACACTGATATCATACTGCATCCATATGGGACCACCACTTGCTACTAACTCCTTCAGGGATGCCGACATCACCAAGATTATATCTGCTGAACACATTTTAAGAAGAAGGGATGCATCGAGCAACAACCGTGCACACACATATTGTACACACACACACACACACACACACACACACACACACACACACACACACACACACACACACACACACACACACACACACACACACACACACACACACACACACACACACACACACACACACACACACACACACACACACACACACACACACACACACACACAGCTGATTCAGAAGGAGATGGAAGTCAGAATTCCTGATATGGCTGACGAATGCAGCAGGTTGAAGCCAGAACAGAGCGGTGAGAGAGAGAGAGATAGAGTGCCTGTGTGTGTGTGTGTGTGTGTGTGTGTGTGTGTGTGTGTGTGTGTGTGTGTGTGTGTGTGTGTGAGAGAGACAGTGAGAGAGAGAGAGAGTAGAGTTGGCTCCAAACAGGAAGGAAGTGTAGTTCTTACAGAAAACAGCATGTTCTTCTTGTCTTGATTGACAGCTCTGGGGTCAGGGACGGGGTCGGTGTGTTTGATCACAGACACAGACTCTCCTGCAGAGACGGATTAATACACACTGTTACACAAGATCCTACAAGCCATTAACAGTAAGATGATGTTACACAGGTTTGGAACAGTGTATTTAACCGTAAGAGGAACAGATGTTTAATCTTATTCTTATTTTGTATTTGTTTGACAAATGTTCTCTTGACTGTTTTAAAGGTCTATTCTACATGGGATCATCACATTTATAGCATGCTTTGGAATCTGACAAGATGCAGCAAGTCAGTCCGTCAGTTAGCCATCCTGTCAGTCAGCCAGCCAACCACCCAGTCAGTCTTTTACTTTTGCCGAAGCAGCAGCTAATCTACCTGGGGTCCACACAAAAACATAAAAACCCGACAAGTAACAAAATGCTCAGTCAGCCAGCCAATCAGTATGTAGCCTACCTGTGAGAATAGACTGGTCCACTCTAAGGGTGGTAGACTTGATGGAGGTGATCCTGATGTCAGCAGGGACCTTGTCACCAACTAGACAACAAAACAAAACAGGCTGGTGTTAGAAGAGAAGACAACCGAGAGTTATAAACACACAGCCATTGAATGAAAGCATTAGGTTAACACTCTAAAGAGGGAGAAAGAAGAAGTGAGGGGGAGGAAGAAAGAGAAAGAAAGCAAATGGTGCGTTTGATTGTAAATTAGTATCTTTGCCCTCTGTAGTGACCTGTGAAGGTGTGAGTCTGGCGGGCCAGGAAATGTAATGACAAAGGAAATGAGAAGACAGCGGCCTAGCTGTGAAACGGCCGGCAACCACCCCCCTCTTCCCCAGGTGACCACTCAATTACAACCTATCGAATCGCAGTGTTCAAACAAAGCCTTGAGCAAAAAAACGTAAGCCAGAGAGCCCTGGCTTAGCCTCACGTCAACAACATGCAACCAACAGCAGGCACCAACGCAGATCGAGTCACAACGCAGTCCCAACAAATCGATTCCGCAGTCACGCTCAGCATCGGATAAATGTTTTAGCTCCCATATCACAGCGTGATAAAGCCCGATAGAAGCAGCTTGGATTAATCCATGTAATGTCTTTAATCTCTTTTCTTTGGCTGTTGTATATTAAAGTCATATTTCAGGACAGGCTGTTTAGGTGTCATGGGCATGCGGGACTGTGGCACCTAACGTCTTTTGAGCCATGCACATTGCTTCCACTGCACACTTTTGTCACAGCTTCACAATCAACAGTGTTGGGGCTTTTTGTAGATCACACCGTTATGCTGGAACTGCTTCATCTAAGATCCAGAGATGGAGTCAAATAATAATATAAAGATATAGGGCAAATACCTGCGAACAAAAGCAACCATTTAAATGTAAACAATTTGTCCGGCTCAGAGCATCAGCCAATTAAAATCGACAATTTACTTGCACGTGACAGAACGCTACATTTTAGCTGGTCCCATCAGATAAAATGGCACACGTTAGCCCTATGCTAACCTCACCAGGAACATGTTCCCAACATGTACAGTATAATTATTGGTTGCACTCTCACCATCATCCTACAGATGGCAGTATTGCATTTTTTCTTTTTAAAGGTTTATACCATGGCATTGTTGAATATTCGTTTCTGATTGGCTTGAAGGGCATTCTAGAGAGTGCATTATTTCCCTATAACACACGGTATAGTTATAGTTCATTCTTAAATGTTCTATGTTTGAGCTGCTTTTGAAAGCAAAAGTCGAATTGAAAACATTATTGGCATTGTTGAATTCGATTTTCATAATAGCAAGCTAGGACTGATGGTTTGGTTAGCTAAACTAGCAAGTCTGTTTGTTTGGTTACCAAGGCAACTACTGTAGCTAACTAGTAAACTTGCTATCTACTTCAGTTGGTTGAACACATTTCTAATGGCAAATGTGTTAAATTATAGCCATGGTATAAAAGGGATAATCAATAGTGGCTCTATGCGTACTCACCTTCCACGTCGTTCAGCATTTTCCATAGAACGCATAACCCCTCGTTGATTATCCCTTACTTATTGTGAGTTCAGAGGACTCGAATCTACTGTCTTAATGGAGGAAAACACTAGGCTGGATCAGTATCAGATGGTGAATTACTTCTATTTGACAAAGTAATCTAACTCTCTGATTAGCCTTTTCTGTAGGCTACTATAGGAACTCCAAATCAACATAGCTGTAGCCTACATTCATTGACATCAGATAGTGTCCTCCTTATGCTATAATAACCTACTAATGCATATGGAACTTTGTATGGTACACCTCAATTCATGATGAACCCCATTAACCACCTTGGTCGTATTCCATAAAGGCTCGGCTTCCAAGCCGGTGAGGTGAAAGCCTGGTGGAGCCTACCCATAGAGTGATTACGCCCTCTTCTGGCGAGGAGACATTAGTGTAGGCTATCAATAGTAGCCTAGTCAAGGATGCATCAATGCAATATTGGCACACAACATTTTGTTACAGACCAACGGAACAAAAGTAAACCTTGAATTTGTAGGTTTAAAATATCCCTTTAGTGGCCAGGGTTGACCTATTTTGAGAAAATGCCATTGGTTGGTGGATATAAAGTCTAAGATCTTTGATAGGCTGATGAAGAATTTGTTCCAGGAAATAATCACTTGGTGAGGTTCACATTGGGCTAACGTATGCCATGTTATCTGATGGGACAAGCTACAATTTTAAGATCTGTCACGTAAATCAACGATTTTAATTGGCTGATACACATTGAGTCGGAGAAACTGTTTCCATTGAAATGGTTGCTTATGTTCGCAAGTATAGCCCAATGATCTTCTATAATACAAATCTTCAAATTAAGAAGTTTACAAGTCAGGAGCCCAAAATCTTCATAATAGAGATATGTTGCAACTGATGTTGAGCACACAATCAATATGCCATTCTGTAATGGTTTGAAGTTGCGTTCTGTACAAGATGTTCTCCAGAAAGGACCAATCCTGTCCTCAGACATCAGCCTAATTCACTGCTGTTCACTGAAACAAGGCCAGTAACAGAATGCACCAAGTTTGCTTTTCAAGGTGATTCCTTTTGAAAAGGCTCCATCTTGTCATTTTCCTTGTCTGGTAGTGCAGGAGGATCATTATTTGGCAGGGCAACCTGACTGTGATTAGCGATGTTCCATGACCTACAGGGTGTGGGAGCGTTATTTGGCTTCCCCTCCACCTCTATTAGGAAGTGAAGCACTGACCAAACCCAAGGTATTGATTAAGGACATTTCAGCACTTCATAAATCACATACACGAGTGCATAATGAGTAGGACTACGGCAAACCTCTAGTTTGATGATTTTTATATGACTCAGATTCCCCTATAATCATGCCATTTCCATGTGTGTTGCGCTTGGAGTTCTCATCTTCCTACATTATGACAAGTTCCCAATCTCTCACATTGTATCGACACTATTTCCCTCTTCCTCAACAACAACCAGAAAGAGAGATGGATAGATAAAGAAAAAGATAGATTGAGAGATGTGTATGTGTGGGAGCTGGGGGCAGTAGCTCCACAGGGGGCAGGCAAGGCAGAGGGCAGCAGCGAGAGGCTTTTGAAACTCCCACTCCCAGCATCCTCCTCACTTACTGTATGTAGTCCTATCGCCTCCAACTCACCCCTCGCGCTTCTCCATTCGCCTCCCACAGACGTTCTCTCCCTCTCTCTCTTTCCATCTCTCTCTCTCCCTCCATCCATCTCTCATCACTATCCATCTTTCTCTCCATCTCTCTATTAGGATTTGCCCAGACACCATCTAAATGCTAATACCAGGAGCTTTAGAACATATTCTATTTCAGACTAAGAATACTTACCTTACCATAATGCAGCCTACGCCATTACTGTATGAGAGCAAACTGTAAAAACTGTTAGGCCCTATACTCTGCATCAACATCTCAAATGGGTCTGGATGGAACCTTTGGAGATGAATCTAGTAAAGTGGGCTTAAAAGGGATAGTCCACCCAAATGTCCTTACCCTGTACGCAGTCTATGGAGAAGGTATGACAGAAATATATGCTTTGTTTTTGTTTACCTGGTTACCCAATATGTAATTTTGTTATGTGGGTGAACTATCCCTTTAAAGCTAGAATACGCAGTTGAAACAATAACAAACCAGGGGATGGGCCTGGAGAAATGTAACCACTCTCAAATGCATAGAAAGAGCTATGGATGCAATAACTGACCATCCATGATATCAAAATTATAGTTTTAACCATGTGTTGAGGCTATACAGTGTTTGTTTACATTTACTTTGTTTACAAACATTGTAGTAAAAATAAGTGTATATTTTGAGTTCTGATGGGGTACGGCAGATGAACTAAGCTCATGAGGCATTTATAAGTTATATTCTTCAAGTCAATGGATATATATAATTCAAGTCAAAAAATTGATGTAGCAACTAAGGATTCTAGCTTTAACTTTACTTTCACTCCTGTAACTAAGTATCGATCAGACCAAACCCTGGTAGATGTGATGGTCTTATTTAGAGTGTACAGACTGTTCCCATCTTTCAAAAAAACTGGGAAAGTTCCACAATCATAACTGTGGCCTAATGCTGGCACTTCGGACAATGTGAAACCAGCCAGGCAAGCAGGGGAGAGGAGGGTGAACAACATGCACAACAAAACAAAAAATAGGAAGAAATGTAACTGCAAGTAGTTTTTTTCGCACAAATTCTGAACAAGTTTTTAGCCAGGATCATTGTCTAGCTCAAGATACTGACACTTTTTGTGAGAGAAAATACATAACCCTGAGTGTTTACTAGTGTTTAAATGGGGCTTAGCAACCATATTATGTCAACGAGAGGAGAAACAGTGTTTTGATGTAGTGGAGGGGTGGGTAGATATCCCTCTGATCTTCCTCTGCTCAGGCAATACATACAGAACACTATGCCAAGCTGAAAGCCTCTCCATCCTGTATCTGGTATGGTAGGAAATTAGCTTTGACTTATGTCCTCTCACAGCCCACTGACTAACATATTTCATGTGTGTGTGAGTGCATGCGTGCGCATGAACAGTATGAGGGCCCTGCCCTCCACTC